CGATTTCTCGCGGAGTTGTCGTCGCTCAAAGTTGGCCAAAATTTACGGCTTTTCTCCAAAATTCGTCCGAGCTGTAATTTTTCTCAGCGGTATATTTTGAGATATTTAACCGCCGTCGACCCCGGTTTTACAACCGTCCCTGGCCTCCCCTGACCCGGGCGTCTACTTCGGCCAGGTGAAAAGTCACTTTTTATTACGACGGGTTCTAGAAAACTGTCCTCTGGCCATCTTGGATCGGCGAAATACTCCGCCGCGCGACGCTCTCTCGTCGGCCACGGATGAGGGAAGGAGCATCGGACAGGTGATAAATAAAAATAAAGTAGGCTGCGATGGGGTGTCGCGTGCGAGCTGGTCCCGGCTAGATAGAAGAGGGAAAAGGAGGAGCATCTGGTGAAGGAGGTGGCTGAAGGGGCGGCTGAAGGGTCGGAGGGACTCGCGGATAAAAGGTTGACGGCTCTCCTACCTTCTGGCCTCTAAGTGGCCCGAATGCCGTCCTAAAAATGCTCCCCGTTGCCGACGGAAGACGAGAACAAGCCGGCGGGGCTGAGGGACGGCACATTTATCCCCCGTGTCAGCCCACCATTTGTCGGCACGCTCGCTTCTCCTTAATGTCACGGACTCGATACGAGAAATAGCCGGCTAGCTTCGTTTCGCGACGTCGCGACGAATACACCTTCCCCCCCGCCCCGGCGAAGAAGCTTTTCACCGGCCCGCCGCACTCTCGGATCTCGTCGGATGATTTTTATTAAGCCTCGATTAACGACCTCGCGAATCCGAGCTGTCTTCCCCTCGGATGACGACGACCTGACCATTCATCATTCGCTGACGCCGCTCTTACGGGTCCTCCGTCGATGTTGCGATTTATTGGGAATGATTGATCTTTAGACGTTGCTCGCGTTGCCTGCTTTTTGCGAAGCCGGCGCACGTTTCTATTTACGGGCCGTAAATGAAAATATCGGCGGCATTTTTTAGAGGCGGAATTAATTTCTTAGAACTCGAAACTACTTGAATTTTGTTTTTTTATTTCAGATGATAAAGGTTGTTTTTGGAATGACTGCCTTTTTGAAAAGTTTGCTATTGCTTAGAGCAGGGGTGTCAAACTCAAAAGCTAACTTGGGCGAAATAAACAATGCTTAACTTTAAGTGGGCCGCAAAACAAAAAATCAATGTTCATAGAAACAAATATTTTTATTTTGACTAGTACATTGTAATAAACACATATATAAAGTTAAATTATTGTTTACGTCCTGATACTTGACATCAAAAATGTTCATCTCGGGCCGCGAGTTTGACACCCCTGGGTTAGAGTGACAGAAGAAAATGAAAGACTCATTTTTTTAAGAAATTCGTCATCCGAGAAATATAACGAAAATTTAAACAAACGTGTTTTATAGATCTCGGCAGGTTACGCGCATGCCGGAAGTTCCATCGACCAATTTTCAAAACCGCCCACGTTTTATCGATCGCACTGCGCGTGATGCACATCCAGACTGTACAGGGTGTCCCAAAATTATGGCACTTTCGGGAGACGAGGGATTCCTGAAGTTATTTGAAGCAACTTTTTCCCCGGCAGAAATGCAATCCGCGGCTTCGTTCGCGAGTTATTAACGAAAAACACTGACCAATAAGAAGGCAAGCTCGGAACGAAGCTTCGTCCGCTGGTTCGCTCGCCGGCCTCGCGCTAGCCGAGCTCGCCTCTCATTGGTCAGCGGTTTTTCGTTGATAACTCGTGAACGATGCCTCGAAGAAAACTTTTGTAAAGAAAAAAGTTGCTTCGAATGAGCTCAGGCTCATCCTGGGACACCCTGTATAATGCACAGCAATCCTTAAAGTTACGGGAAAAGTAATTCTTTGCGAATAGAACATTTTCAATGTAAAAAGAGGAAAGAAAAATTCGAGCAAAATTGCGGAAAGTTAGACGAAGCTCGATGAAACGAATTCGACGTTATGGAAAGTCGCGCGCCGGTCACCGATGGCCGTCAATTGCGTTAAACGATCCGAAAGTCTCGCGCGCAGAGCGTTTCCCGTCGTCGACGCGGCGGCGATCCAGCTCGTTTCACACTTCGCGTTGGTAAATTACGGCCGCGTAACGTTAGGAATCACGAGCTTGCCGGGAATATTGTGGCGGTGGCACTCTTTTCAAGTGCTCCTCGAGCACGCGTGTTCTCTCCTCCAGGTACACACGTACGCACACGCGCGCGCGCTCGCGCCGGGTTCTCTCCGCGCGTCCTCCGTCCGATGCATGTCGTTCATAACTGCCACACATCTATGGATGATTTGTGTCTTTCATACGTAACACGTATGGAAGGAAACGGCGCGCATAAGGCCATAATTCCACGGGGTTACCGGGGAATATAAATCTCAGTCGGCCGTGTCACGCGGCCCAATAACAAATTGATGCCGCTCGTCGAACGGCTGTAAACAGAAACCGTAGTTACTCCGTCGACTTAACAGGTCCGGAGGCCGACAATAACTACCGGGCACCGATCACAGGTGTGTATTATTGCCGCGATCCCCTGCGAATCGACGATAGGCCGCCGACGAGAGAAGAAATTCGATGGACCCGCGGCTACCGGTTTTTCGATAAACGCGGGGCGAAGCGTAGCGACTCCACGGACGCGTTCCGTTCGCTTTTTATTCAATTCGCCGACTTTTATTTACCTGTAGCGCCGCGCGTGTGCGACGAATTTTCTGTATCGAAGATCGCGGTGTCGTTCAATCGTTCGAATCTCGTTCGCAATTTTACCCCATTATCCGCCAATGTCCCATTTTTGGGACACTTTTTCACATTTCTTTTTCTTGGAAAAATTGCAACTTCTAAGTAAAATACAGGCGTTAAAATAGTGCGAACATGTCACGTGCTCCGTGAATGTATTAAGAATTCTCGCTGTTTTGTTTTCAATCATTGTAAAATTCAGGTTGAAATTAATAACCTTAATTTAAGATTTTTATTGTATTTTTGAATTGCGGCTGGTGATGGGTTAAATTGCAGCTGCTAATTGTTCTTTGAACCATCTCGAAAGCTGGTAATATTCGATAAATTTGTAATATATAGAATCTTCGAGTAGAAATGAATTTTTACCCTTTTCGCGCTCGTTTTTTAAACGCCCGAATAAGATATTCGAACTGAAGTAAATTCTACATGGACGCAATTAATTTTATTCCCTGTTTATGATAACATCAGTGTAACTTTTTTAATTGTATTTTTGAATTGCGGCTGGTAATGGGTTAAATTGCAGCTGCTAATTGTTCTTTGAACTGTCGCGAAAGCTAGAAATATTCGATAAATTTGTAATATATAGAATCTTCGAATCGAAATTAATTTCAACCCTTTTCGCGCTCATTTTTTAAACGGCCAACTAAGATATTCGAACTGAGATAAATTCTACGTGGACGTAATTAATTTTATTCCCCGTGAAAACGATCGAACAGATCGAATTTATTGCAAATTTCCAGGAACTTTTCAGGAATTTCCATCGACGCGTGCCCCGACTAAAGAAACGAATCTCCGTCGACTTCCGATAATTATAAACGAAAAAAATGCGAAACGAGTCGTTCGGCCGCCAATGATACGTTTAACGCGAATCAACCGCTGACGCAAATGTTCGCGGGAAGAAAAAGCTGCGAGCACGTCTGGCAAAAACATTTGAATATTTCATCGGGGGATATGTAAAGTAGCCGGCCCGAAGTGGCCCGAATCGAAAATTAAAGTTGAAATAATTAATTCGCCGCGCGCGCAGAGATTTCGTGTGTCGCGCGGTGTGTCGCGAGCCCCGCCCGCGATAGCATTTTCGTGTGTCGCGCCCCGGCACAACGGTAACCAGATTTCGGATAAATATAACGGAATGTCTGAAGTTCTCCGCAGGCGTGCGTGTTACGTTGTAGTTATACAGATCCAATCAGAGCCACGTCACCGGCTTTCAGCCCCGATTTCCTTTCTCGTCGTGCCCCGGGTCTACCCATCCCCGCTTTTTCCAAGCTGCCTGTTTCACGACTCCGAGTTCAAAGAGTATCCCCGGAATATCGAGTAATTTTGTCGCGTTCGGAATAACGTCGCTGAATATGCAACGCAACGTTCCGCGAGAGGAATAAGAGGGACACGGCGGATTTTCATCGTTTAACATGCAAATAAGCCACCAAGTCCGGATGATACGTCTTCCCCTTTGGGGTAACGGCTCGACTTACATTACACCGGCAGACGGGTCCGGTAAATGACGATCGACGATCTCGCCCGATTCTTTACCGGATCACGCGTGTTCGGTTTGTCCTAGTTTTCTTTTTTTCTTCGAATTTCGACCCGGTGACATTCCATTTGCCGGCAGATTCGCGGGTTTCGAGCGGGAAATGAAGACGCGGACACGCGGCGAATATGGATTTGTTTCTCTTCGAGGAGATTATTCGAGATAGGAAGTGTACTCGAAAGCCTCGACACGCTTTTTTGCCATTAAATCGTTAAACTTTTGACGGAATCGACGCAGATCGACGCAGATCGACGCCGAACTCACCGCGCTTATTTTTAAACTATTGAAACTATAGAGACTCTTTCTTGCGAAACGATGGAGAAAGTTTCGTTCAAGCTTACGCTTTTTAGCTTAAATTGAAACTGAAACGTTGCAGAATACGATAAAAATAAAGACAACAATTTACGAATAAGTTTTAACCGCGAAAATATTTATCGAAGTTGACGTTTCTCGGAAAAGTTCCTCACTTAAAAGAGTGACATTTAATAAATATTTTCAAGCTCGGAACGTATACCTCACCCCTTCTCCAAATTTTTCCTTCATTCTACGATGTTTCAGCTTCGATTTAAAAAAAATTTCATCGCGCTATCTCAACGTGACCGAAAGTTCTACGATTTTGTTTCAACAGTGGTCGAACAGTGCCACGGTCAGCGATGTTCAACGTGTTTATAATGACTTAAAGTGACTTAAATAGAATAACAAACGGCTTGCAGGAGGACTGGAAATCGTTCTGACGAAAAAATTGTCTTGTTTGCGCAGATAACACAGCGCCCCTTCGCCATCTATCCTTGAAGAGCCTCCTGCCAGACACGGACGGCTACATGACCTACGAGGGTAGCACGACTCATCCCGGCTGTTGGGAGACAGTGGTATGGCTGATCCTCAACAAACCCATCTACATTACCTCGCGAGAGGTGAGTGGTGGTCTCCTTGATTCACCTGTCGATTACTATCGGGCACATTGTTGTGCAACATTCCAAAAAGACGGGAAAGAAACGTGAATTCGACTTGCTTTTTGCTTGATTTGCGAATCGGGTAGAGATACGATTGGTAAAAAAAGTATATTTTTTATCGGTAAAAAACCGTTTTAAAACTGGTCTAAACGATTAAAATTTTTCGGAGATGTTAGACAAACACTAACATTCCAGAAAGACAGAAAATAAACGTGAATTCGACTTGCTTTGCTATCGAATCGAGTAGAAATACGATTGGTAAAAAAAGTATATTTTTTATCGGTAAAAAGACACCTTAAAACTGTTTTAAAACTGGCCTAAACGATTTAAATTTTTCGGAGATGTTAGACAAACACTAACATTCCAAAAAGACAGAAAAGAAACGTGAATTCGATTTGCTTTGCTATCGAATCGAGTAGAAATACGATTGGTAAAAAAAGTATATTTTTTATCGGTAAAAAGACACCTTAAAACTGTTTTAAAACTGGCCTAAACGATTTAAATTTTTCGGAGATGTTAGACAAACACTAACATTCCAAAAAGACAGAAAAGAAACGTGAATTCGACTTGCTTAGCTATCGAATCGAGTAGAAATACAATTGGTGAAAAGAATATATTTTTTATCGGTAAAAAGGCACCTTAGAACCGTTTTAAAACTGGCCTAAACGATTTGAATTTTTCGGAGATGTCGGACTAAAATACCTTTTCCTAATTTTGTCACTGCAGTAAATTCTCCCTAATTTTCCTTCAGCTTGTAAACAAAAATGGACAATTTGAGAAGAGAAGATTCGATTATTCGAGCCCTGCACCTCGCTTTTTCTAATCGTTATATATTTTATAATTTTGATAATCGTCCATTTTTGTTCGCAAGCTGAAGAAAAATAAAGGAGAATTTACTGTACTTGGAACGACAAACAATGAAACAAAATACGATTACAATAAACGTATGTCCGATGAAAATGTCTTCTTTCTTTTAATAACTTCAACAAATCGTACGCAACATAAAAAAAAACTCTGAAATTCTTCTCGGGTTTTCAAACCGACCCCTTCGACGTTTAAACAAACATTCGAATCATTTGGTCCGGTTTTTAAAACAGTTGCAAACGGTTTTGCGAACGCGTCCGACATACCTTTTTCGCGCATCCGATCCAATTTGTATTTAACAAGTGCCAACAAATCCGGCCGTGTTACGAACGCATAAAGATCCACAGTGATGGCGATCGAAGTGCAATCATTGCGAACGGTTAATTAAATTCGTTAACTTTCTAAATGCATCGTCGATGCATCGGCGAGCGAGATTTCCCGGTGGCCACCGGTATATTTCAATCATGACGGAGAGCGAGAAATTTAGCGTGTCCAATTTTTGGTCGGAACGCGAGCGCGGGGCGCAACGGGCGAAACGTTGATGCCTTAAGTATATTATTCGGGAATCCAATTAGTTGCCGGACCATTCTAGTATTTACCCCGTTCGCCATTACTTAACAAGCTCTACTTTATGGTTAAATATTGAACGAGGAGGAGTGCCGGGATCGTTACAACGTAATCCTAATCCCATTTCTAGCTTTACGTACTAAGGAAACTAATGCAAGGTTCGGAGGACACTCCGAAGGCACCCTTGGGAAACAATTCGAGGCCGCTGCAGGAGCTTCATTACAGGACTATACGGACGAACATCGATTTCCGCAAGGTGAATTGCTCTTCTATTGTCCCCGCCAATTACCAGCGTGCCAATCTTTTGCGCCACAAATACGGATCGCGAACTTATAGCGACGCGAATTCGACGAACCCGATTTCGGTGTTCGTATTTAGAATGGGATTGATTTTATCGCGTTCAGAGTCTAGCGGTGTCCCATAATTATGTCAACATTCTGCGAGGACAGAATCCTGAGATCATTCGAAGCAACTTTTTCCTTTACGAAAATTTTCTACGAGGCATCGTTCACGAGTTATTAACGAAAAACAGTGACCAATGAGAGGCGAGCTCGCCTAGCGCTAGGCGGCCGAGCCAATCGGCGGAACTGGGCCTGTCTCTTATACACATCTAGATGTGTATAAGAGACAGGCCCAGTTCCGCCGATTGGCTCGGCCGCCTAGCGCTAGGCGAGCTCGCCTCTCATTGGTCACTGTTTTTCGTTAATAACTCGTTAACGATGCCTCGGAGAAAATTTTTGTAAAGGAAAAAGTTACTTCAAATGGTCTCAGGAATCACTTAGGGATGTTAACATAATTATGGGGGACAGCCTGAATTTATTTTGGGTTCAGTAGTAGTGACAGCACGTTAAAATGCTCGTTCGAACAATTTAACCATTTTTAATTATGTCTCGTCGCTTTTCGGTTCTCAGTAACGTCCAACGTTGTTCGACACTGATGTAAGTGTGAACTGAACTGAATTAAATGGAATTGAAATTGAATTTTGAGTGGAAATTATTAACAATATATTTTAAGAGTATCAATATCTCGAACGTATCGTATTTCTGGCAAATTGATGGCACGCTAGCCTTTATTCTCAAAACAAACAAATCAAGATCAACCCTCTATCAACTTTTCATTTACGAATAAATTCAACTGTTCATCGTCACCGTTCAAAATGCAATTTATACAGATGAAAATTTATAATTTATAATTTATAAGATGAAAACTTCGCTTGCAACCTTCGCTGTGCGTTGCACACCTCCAAACACTCCTCTTTTACAACTATTATATTTGCATAAAGCGTTCTTCGCTGTCGGACTATTAATGCAACGCCTACCAAGTAAAATTCAAAGCATGTTGCAACATTTTTGCATAACGGTGGGAAAAGTTCGATGCTACCGTGCTCCCAGATAATTTCTCCGTCGCAGGATCCCCTTCCTTCAAAGTCCCGTGGAATTTTCAGAAAAGTAGATTTTCTCCGAGAAAAAATAACCGTCCGATTACCGTCCTTTAACCAGTTAGCTGTGGCACCTCCTTTTCAGAGCGCGACGACGAGTATACTCGTCAAACACTGTGCAAGCGTCGCTGTTAAAATATTCGATCGAAAAGACGGTATTATTTTATAAAATTAACAATTTTATTATTAGTATTTATTTGTTCACTTAACATTAACATATACTACGTACATAATAAACGAAAAACGCGAGAAAAATCAAATACTTACTAAAAATTCAAATTGCTGCTGTATTGTGGTGTTCGCGTCGTACACCAATATCGTGATTCTTTTCTAATATTATTTTTATAACAATGTGAACACCTCCGTGTAGGATTGGCTTCAAAATTTTCTAAACATCTTGAAATTTGAGAATATGGTTTTGTTTTCACTAAAATTGCAATTTAAATAGCCAATGGTCGATACCTTTTACGCACGACGAGTATACTCGTCGTGACACAAAATACTGTCACTTTTCTCCGTGGCGAGTATACTCGTCAGAACACAAAATACTGCCATTTCTCCATGACGAGTATACTCGTCGTGGCACAAAATATTACTTCTCCATGACGAGTATACTCGTCGTGACATAAAATATTACTTCTCCATGACGAGTATACTCGTCGTAACACAAAATATTACCACTTTTCCATGACGAGTATACTCGTCGTGTCACGAAATACTGCCACTTCTCCGTGACGAATATATTCGCTACGACAGAAAATACTGCCACTTCTCCATGACGAGTATACTCGTTGTAACATAAAATATACTGCCACATATTCATGACGAATATACTCGTCGTAACACAAAATACTGCCACTTCTCCATGACGAGTATACTCGTTGTAACATAAAATATACTGCCACATATTCATGACGAATATACTCGTCGTAACACAAAATACTGCCACTTCTCCATGACGAGTATACTCGTTGTAACATAAAATATACTGCCACATATTCATGACGAATATACTCGTCGTAACACAAAATACTGCCACTTCTCCATGACGAGTATACTCGTCGTGTCACAAAATACTGCCACTTTTCCATGACGAGTATACTCGTCGTAACACAAAATATTACCACTTTTCCGTGACGAGTACACTCGTCGTAACACAAAATACTGGCATTTCTCCATGACGAGTATACTCGCCGAGCACAGCTGACTGGTTAAGCGACCAAGTTGGAACCGCGCGCGTGCATCGTCGGATCTACGACAAAGCGAGATCGCCAGATGATAAACTATGTTGCGCCGTTCAACTTTTTCCCTCCGCCTTCGACCGTGCCGCACGTATTCGTTGCAGTTGCGTGACTCGGCGTTGCATAGGGCCGGTTGCGCGGAGCTTTTTCCAGCGGATTCATGAACAAACAGAAAATATTAGGGCGCGGGACACGGTGAGCTGCAAACGACTATGAAATTAACCAGCGGCGACCCCGGGAAAAATACATATTTTTCACGTGTTTCCCAGAGTTCTGGGGGAATTTTTGATGAACCGTGTAGTATTTTCAACCGTCGCGAATCTCTGCACTGCTAAATATTCATTCTCGTTAACGTTCCGCGCGAATTAAAATAATAGGAGGCTTTCTTCCGTCTACCGGGAACCGTTTAAACAATTTCAGACCATTGTTCAAGCCTCTCCGACTCATTAAATCGATTTAGAAATCAAAGAGATATCTACGTAACATCTGTGTCTTGCAATTTTTATTTTGCATTAAAATCCGTATGCTAATTTATCGCGTAGAACAATTTGTTTACGTTCTCCAAAGATCGACAAATATGTCCAACAAACTTCCATTTCGCGTCTCCGTCGAATTTGTGTAAAAAAATTGCCAAAGATTGCCTCTAGGATCATGAAAATCGTGATTTCGCAGCATTCAGGATTGATCTATGTTTTCTTAAAGCTGCTGAATTATCAAATATGTTTTAAATCTTCATCATAATATGTTTTAAATATGTAATAATTAATAAATTATATAATATAATTATATATGGTTATATATAATATATAATTTTAATAATATAATTGTATATATAGTTATTTATAATATATAATTTTAATAATATAATTATATATAGTTATTTATAATATATAATTTTAATAATATAATTATATATAGTTATTTATAATATATAATTTTAATAATATAATTATATATAGTTATTTATAATATATAATTTTAATAATATAATTATATATATATAGTTATATATAATATATAATTTTAATAATATAATTATATATATACTTATATATAATATATAATTTTAATAATATAATTATATATATAGTTATATATAATATATAATTTAAATAATATAATTATATATATAGTTATATATAATATATATAATTTTAATAATATAATTATATATACAGTTACATATAGTATATAATTATAATAAATTAATAAAATATATAGCAATAAAATCGTATCGAATTGACTCGCTCCGGCGATCCAGTGTCAAAAAATTTCGCAATACCGCACCGTGTCTCGGCGACGAATCAACAAATCCCTTTGAAATTCGAATGTTGTAGAGGGTTGATTAGGTGAAACGCCGCTAAAACTAATGATTTTTGTTTGTTTGCACAGCGGAAGGACGCGAAGTGTCCCTCGATGGCGCAGGACATGCATTATAGAGGTAACCCAGGACATTATCCAGGCTTGATCAGCCCCCAAACATCTTTCCACCTCGCGAAGGGATCGTCTCGATGAGAATTTGAAAAGATGACTTTTTCTTTCCAGCCAACACGTGGCAGGACGATGGCTCCCTCTCGCCCGACATCGTCTGAACGGAGGTAACCGCGTGGCCACGGTCGCAGGCGTTTCTTTATTTCTAAGCGAACGGCGCCGATCGTTGTGTGTCTGCCACGGGATTCAAAGTTCGAACGCGATTGATATCAGAAACGAGAGTGAGAGAGAAAGAGACAGAGACAGACAGACAGACAAACGGAAATAGAAATAAAGAGAGAAAGAGAAAGAGAGACAGTGCAAAAACAAAAGCGAGAGAGAGAGAGAGAGAGAGAAGACGAAACGGCAGAGGCTTAAAAGCGAAAACGCGGAGAAACGCAGAGTGGAAAAAAGCTAAACGAGAGAGGGGTCACGGTTCAGGGAACTCGATTCGTCCAAATGGCGATCGTTTTGCGTACCGATCCGCCATTTCTGATTTCTCCTTGCTCCGATCGCTCGGCGCGGAAACGGGTCGCGGACGCGAGCAAATTCGCGGGCGCGACGGGGAAAGAAGGAGAGAAAAAGGAAGGAAGAACAAACGAACGAACAACAACAACAACCAAAAATATGGCAACGGAAACGTTGTCGTGTGGCGAATTAATGAAATCGATGAAGAATCGACGGGAAGCTTCTACGTGTTTCGAGGCCGATTTACGTTTGATCCCGGCGCGGCACGATATGCCGCGTCGGAAGATTCACGAGCCGGCGGGGCACGGGCTCCGACAACGTTTCTCCGGGCGTCGCGCGACGAACCGATTGTCACCGGGATGATAAGTGTGTTCCCCAGCGACGGGAATTTGTATTTGCCGCGGGAACGCATTTAGGAAATCGTTCCCGTCATTCTTACGGGTTCCGCCCCCCGATCCGTGGATGAAGTTGGAGCAAACGTACCGTTCAATGCAATTTTCGCGGGACGTTTCTGAACGTCGACGCGGCCAATCTTATATTTAACCCTTTGCCCCGCGTAATTCCGACCGAGAACCATTCGTCGCTACGTTCGAACAATTCGTTCGGCCGATAAACATTTGGCCGACGAACGTCCCGATGGAACGTGCCACCGCAATTTGCATCTTTTTTGCATCTTTGTTTTTCTTTTTTTAGATACGAGGATTTTTTGCGACGAATTCGTTCCAGCTGATTATTATAATTTTCGTTGTAACGTTTCTCATATTATGACATTCTTCTTTGTTTCATCTTTCTGCTCGAATTCTCTTTGATTGTTGTTGTATCTCTGTACAGCGAATGATTAATCCTGTTAAAAGAATAAATATTATTATTATTATTGAAAATCTGTGGAGCTCGAAAAGAGAACGTATTTTGAGTCGCTGCACAATAAAATAATTTTTGTTATTTGTTTGTTTTAGGATTGACCGAATCTTCTTTGATAAAAATGAACACGAATCTGTGTAGAGGATTATTGTTTGTGCACTTTTCAGAAAGTTTTGAAACAAATGTGACGATTAATAATTGTTTCTGTACCGTCTTCCGGTCTGTATCGTTTTTTTCTGTATAAAATGGTTTCGTATATTATGTAGTTATACATGTACTATATTATACTACATTATATAGTATATTACATATTATATATTATATAATATACAATATACTATATATTTTACATTATATAGTTATATTATGTATAATATATTATATATAGTATATTATATAGTTACATTAAGTATAATATATTATATATAGTATATTATATAGTTATATCATGTATAATATATTATATATAGTATATTATATAGTTATATCATGTATAATATATTATATATAGTATATTATATAGTTATATCATGTATAATATATTATATTATAGTATATTATATAGTTATATCATGTATAATATATTATATATAATATATTATATAGTTATATCGTGTATAATATATTATATATTATATTATATAGTTTTATTATATAATTATATACTATACTATCTAGTTATTCACAACAACTATGAACTTCACAATTAATAATCAAATATTATCCATTAATTAACAATTATACTTATAATTTTCCCTCGCAATCCTCGCAATTCAGTCTTTCCAATTCGAAACGTTCCCAAATCCTCGCCAACGGTCCAACAATCCATCGCAAGAGAATATTCCGCGATCGTCGGTCGCAATTGTGGGATCGCAGAGGGTTAGATATGACCGAAGCCACGGCGTATAAAGTAAGTTAATCTGTAAGTGTGATTGAGTTATCAGCGGGCCCGTTGACTGTCGCCGCGCGCCGAGTGCGGCTGGCGAGCGCCAGCGGCGAAATTTGCCAAATTCCGAGATATTTTGCATAGACGTTGATTTGTCCTCTGCCAAAAGTCCTCCCCCCCCCCTCTCCCACATACGTTCGCCAGAGAGCGCCGAACCGGCGGCGACAGTTAACGGCACACGTGGAACTTGTAATTGTACGTAAAACAAAAAAACACACTACCCGAAAAAAATAAAAAATAAAAAACACACACACAGAGACACGCCACAGAGAGAGACTGACGAATCGAACGGGAGACTTCGCTTGTCTCTGCCAGTCAATATATCACTTCTAAAATATTCCATTTTAAAGTAACGTGCTCCGAGGAAGCGGAACACCGTCTAATAAAGCCGCCGGCGGGGCTCCAGGAGCCTCGGGCGCGCGAAACGTTCACGAGAGAGTGTGTGGTTCACCGGTTCGTACACCTTCATTCTCGAGGTTTAAGAAAGCTACTCGATGTTAAAACGTAAAGAATGTCCTCCGACGAGCGTTCGAGATCAGACGCGGCGACGACAGCGTCGCCGCGTTGTCTACGCCAGCGCATCGCACAAAAGCCATGACAGAGCGAAGAAAGCGAGAGAAAGAGAACGAGAGCGAGAGATAAAGAGAGCAAGAGAGAGAGAGAGAGAGATAAAGAGAGCGAGAGAGAGAGAAAGAGAGAGCGTGCTCGTCGAAAGCGCATTGTCGAACCCGTTCCAATCGCGCGCGTTTCAACGGTCTGCCCTCGAGATCCTGCTGTACAATCGCGTGGCCCTCGCCAGCGTCAGATCGTACACGTTCCGCTTCCAAAAGGATCAAAAGTCCAGCCCCCCCCCCCTCCACCGCCGTGTTCCCGACAACAGGGTGCAACGGCGTCGCGGAACGTGGGTAATTGTCGAATTGCTTGACGGATTTTTGTCAATTATTTTGTAGCCAATATACGTAAAGCCGAACGACGAACATTTGTGACCCGTCGAGGCGATCATTTCGGACGAGAGAAACGATGGGGGATAAGACGGCGACGAAGAGGGTCGGAAGGAAGGGTCACCAGAGGGAGGCAGAGAGACGATCGAATTCCAGGAACGACTCCCGGATGGAAACGAGCCGATTCGATTCGGGCGAACAGCCGAGTGTTTAGGGGAACGAAGAGAGAGAGAGAGAGAGTGAGAGAGAGAGAGAGAGGGTCGGTGTGAGGACGCGTTTGGATGGAATGAACGGGAGAGGAGATCGCGTGCGCTAGACCAACCGATCGCGAAAAGAAAAATAATTCGGGTTGTTTGTAGCTTAGCCGATGGACGAATAATCCAGCGCTTTTGTATATAAACACAGACACTACAGAAACCGTAATGGACTACTACCGAATAGCCGTAAGCAGATCGTAAGAGTACATTCTAGGGAGAAACGAGCAGAGTGTGTATAGAGACTAACGTTGTATCATACGAAAGTGAACGTTTAACAATTGTGGTTAATGAGTAACGATAATAATAAACGCAACGTTATATTGTAACCTTTCTCGCCATTCGTTCTTTCGACGAGCGCTCGATCATCCGACGTCGGTTCGGTTCTATCGTCGCGTTTCCGTCGCGTTTCGAAATTCCGTTTTCTCAAAGCCGAAGATCCCAGTCCAGAGAATTTTTAACGATCGCTTCGGCTATTATCGTTCAAAGGAACGTTTCGTGGCACGATCGTGTCAAAGATTCGCAGTCGATGCAGCGTTAATTGGATTTGAATTTCAGCTCGAATCACAAAGATCGCGCGCTGCGTTTCGCGCGAGTTGCTTCGAACAGTGCGGGATCTCATTCAGCTAAGCGTTTCTTCGAATAATTATGCTTTTAATCGGACGAATTTTAATGTATTCCGAGGGGTTCGATTATTTTATTAGCCAGTTCGCAAAGAATTGAAACACTAAATCGAGATCCTACGACTTAAACGTAAGAAACGTAAATTAGGCGAACGTATATTTCCTTTCTTAATCATTTTATATCAACTTAGTAACTGTAACAACGCTTTTACAATTTAGTATTCGGCCACGCGATTTTCATTTTCAATTTTCGCTATTACATTTAAACAATTACGATCGCTATCTCTGTGCAAAGAATTTTGCGCAAGGCTAACTTCGCCTCTGTTCTCGCGTGTTTTCCTAATCAAAAATAACAGCTTGCTTCACCTTTAGAATTACCGAAAGCTTGAATAAGATAAAATACTTTTGTCCGATACTTTTTCATTTTGCAACAGCAAGTTTCGTCTACGGGGAGGGCTGTAGCAGCGTTTTCGTTTCGATAGTTAGTCACGGTCGGTTCACGGGTAGTTTAAATAATTATTCGAAGGAGCGGATGATCCCGAGACACATCCGCCGGGGACGAAGCCCGCGGGACACGGGATCGGTCAAGTGTGATCGAAAAATCAGAGTACATTGACAAATTGTCCGAGCGAAATTGGGTCGGGCCGACACCACAAAGTTCGAGCTTCGTCCTGAGACCGCGTCTCATCCTTCATTAATTATCCCCTCGTGCTCCGATTCCTGCTCCTCCGTCTACCCTCGCGATAACTTTCGATGACGGTCCTTCGGGATTAAGGTAAGTGAATTTCATTTTGTGAATATCCTGTGAAAAAAATGTTAACTCCTTCTAATAGACTTCTCGGTGACTGCTCAGTTTCCGAGGAAACTTTGATAATCTAGAAATTCGGGACGTTTTTGTCTTGGCTCGCCGGAAGTCTCGATGGAATTGTCAGGAAATTTTGCAGTTGGTTTCTTGACTGTTCAGAGCGAAGATAAATATGTGAAAAGTAATTATTAAAAGCCTAAGAGCATTGTCGTATAAAAGTCTTTCTATAAATTTCTATAAATCTTCCATAAATCTTTTATAAATCTTTCTATAAATCTTAAAAAATAATTTGGATTTATGTCTTAAATACAATTTCTTACAATATTGCAATCAAATGTTGTAAATTCGACCGAATTATCCACGTAAATATTGTATGAATAAAATTTTCAGAGCCAGATCCGCCATTTTGAATCTGGTTCGAACGCCAACCGTTCCAGGATAAATAAGGTTTAATCTATCATTGAATAACAATAAAAAAAACTCGTTGAAAATGATCATTCTCATTTTATAAAATAAAACATCGCGTCAAGATTTTATTAAAAAATTTCCTCAACGTTTGAACCGCCATCTTGTCGCAAAGGGTGCTCCAAAATTCTCAACCATTAAAGAATACACAAACTTTAAATTTCTATACTAATAAAAAAGGATACTAGAGCACTAAATTATACTATTTCTGATTCGGTATA